CAGAAACCCAAGGAGGGGTTACTATGAAAGGGATATGACTCAACAGCAGTGAGAGTTAGAGTTATTGAGCCTCAGCTCCCTAGGACAAAATGAAGGATTTGGGTTCATTCTATTATTGTTGGGTTGGGAGTTGTTTTATTTTGTTTTTTCAAACCAGAAACAAAATTAAAGGTTGTTTCATATAAACCAAAAAGAAGAGGAAGAGGAAGAAGAAGAAACAAATAAACGGCACCCTGGAAGCACTGGCCTTGTAATCCTGCGCATCTACTGTCACGCAAACTACAGTCCCAGCCTCTGCTGGGAACATGCGTGTGTCCATGTGTCAGAGCACATCAGCTCAGCTTTCCCACCCTGGTCGGGGAGAGCCTGAGAACAAAGGGCCCGAGCAGAAAGGGCAGTCATGGGGCAAGAAGCCAGTCGCGTGAAGCCACAAAGGCAAGGATGTGCCGTGGTCAGACAGGGCGCCTGATCAGGGAAGGCACGCAGGCACGCCAGCCGGAGAGACAGCCCAGAGGAGCACAGAGCAGACACACCACACCCAAAAGAGGAGAGGTTCCAGAATGAGGACCCTTGGAAGGAACCGTGAATTCCTTTAATCAACCGATTTCCTCCTTATCTAAAAGGCCTCACTTAGCTAGGCTTGTTCTGGCTGCAATTGATAGGTGTAACTGACAGATGCTTGAATTTGGGGTCCACTCTGGCGAAAAAAAATACCTCTCCACTGGCTTCTCAATGGAAATTAAGGGGAAATGGTGCATTTTAAGGGCTCTTCCTCCAATTCAGTTTGGGGGTGGGTCCTGACTTGCCTTGGTTCCCCACCCCACCCCCCTTTTCTGCAAACATTCTCTCCCCTACAACAATGGCAGAGATCTGCCTGGCTTGCTCTTAAGAGAGGCCCTAAGGCCAGAGATGAAGCAGCTGTCAGGGAACTAGGCTATAATCAGCTTCAACTGGCTCAGACCAGGCAGGCGGACAGCCCAGGCCTTCATTCCTACAGTGGCACGTCCTGCTGTGTGCCCTGAAGTGGGACATGGAGGTGCTCTGAGTTTCCGTTTCAAGCATATCCAAGACCTCAACCACATGACCTTGCAGGTCCCCAAAATTTAAATAAGCACATAGAAGAAGGTCCCTTCAAATCCATAATAATGGTTTCAACTACATGTAACAAGTTACCCCCAGCATGACTGAAAAGGACAGTAAATCAATGAGACAGGAGAAGTTAAAACACAACTAAAAATGGGTTATTCAGGCAAGTGTGAAATGCTACAAGGCTGCTAGGTAAGAACAGTATCCCTTTGCCCAACTGGAGTGTCACCTTCCCCTTTCACAGCACCACACACCAAGTGTCCATGTAACGTGGAAATTTAGGATGAAATGGGGAGGCTGTTGGGTACACAGGTAGCCAAAGTAGGGGTTTGGTTCTCTCTATGCAGCGGAGCTGTTGCAGTGTGACAGGTCAACTGACCCCTCCCATCACCCCAGACATCTACTGTAAAAGATACGGACTAGATGAGATTCAAGTCACCATACCCGTACCACAAAAAAAAAGAAAAGAAAAGAAAAAGAAAAAGCATTCACTCGAATCTTACAATGGGTGGGGGTGGTGGGTGGGTGGGTGAGGGTGGGGATAGAAAAGCAAGGGGGAAAATCTAAACAGCAGGATACGACAATAAATGGGAAAACAGCAAGAGAAAAAGCACACTAGGTTAATATAGGAAAACTAGTTCTTTATTGAGAGATTGTATATTAGTATTAGTGGATTCTGTGTGTAACAATGTCGTCATGCACACGATACAAAAAAAAAGGCTGGGCCCACCATGCTTCGGAAGGGCAACAGAACAAAAGCAGCATACAATGAGCAGATGGCCCGGGCTACACGACCACAGTACATTTCAGCAGGGTAACGTCTCTAACCGAGCGCTGTACATTGTCAACTGGGGGATGTAAAAAAATACAGATCATGCTTTAGTTTTAGTACAAGAAAAGGTGAAAAAGATACACAACCAAAAGGATATTTGATACAGAAAAAATTACCCACAAAATAAGAACAGGAAGTAATTCAGCACAGCAGAACACGCTATCCCTGTTTAATGGAAAACCATTTTGCAAGGAATTCTCTTTTCTTCTTTTTTTTTTTTTTTTCCTTTCTCTCTTTTCAGATTGCCAAATGGCAGTCTGCGGAGGCTACTTGGGCTTTATTTTGGAAGGGCCCTCGAAGTAGGGGCCGTATTCTTTCGTTATTACTGCTGTTTTGTTTCCGTTTTCAAGCAGGTCTGGCTGGCGAGGCAGCAGAAGGGAGCCGGCTGTTAAAGGGACAGCTCTGAGGGCCAGGGCGGATGTCCAAAGATGCTCTCGACATTGTACAACTAAACAAATTAAGACACCATGGCAGTGGCTTCCCCCTTAAGCCAGGGACCTTTATGCACCAAACTGTTAAAGGCTACGGACCAGCCACAACTGTCGTTTCTTCAAAGATTGTCTTTTTGGTATATAAGGATTTTTTTGCCTCCGACTAAATGTAATCTCTTCCGTTATGCCTGGGTGCTGCCAGGAGTTGATGGCCACCCAGATAACGGGAAATGGGGTGCAGCAGCCTCCAAGCCAAGGCAAAAGGTATCCACTTAACAGGGATTTACAGTGCAATGTACTCGGCTAAACAAGATGAAGATACAAAAATGGTTATTTCTCTACATCTATTCTGAAATGGCCTACATCCCATACTACTACAATGGAAACTAAAAAGAACAGACTTAAGCTGGCAAACTATCTAATAGTTTTACAAGAAGATTGTGGTTTAGGACCTTGTTGGGTTAAGCATTAGTATCCTCTATCGAGAGGTCATGAGTTCATGTCACTTTAAGCTAAGTTGGACCCACAGCCCAACTCACCCCTCAGCCCTTGGATTTCCTGTGGGCGTGTTTGCCATGAAAGTAAAACTTTGACTGACAGGCAGAATTTGTTTTGTTGCATTTTTTTGTTGTTGTCCTTGTTGTTGTTATGGGGAGGGAGGTGGTATTAAAAATAAAATTTAAAGGCAGCTGAGCAATTTGAATTTCAAAACATGGAATCTGCATCCTGCAATGGTATTTAGAGATCGGTGGTATTAATGAGGATGATAATGATTTAATCAGGATAATTATCCTTTCAGGCTCAACATCCTTCTTAATCATTTTTGAATTTCTGCCTAGTGTAATGTTCCACACCCGTTTTAAGAGGAAATGCCAAGTAATAAGAGATAATTGCGTATTGGGGGAGGGGTTGGCATTTCAGGGGAGGTCTCCTGGGAGTCTCCCCCCCCCATTCCTGTTCCTCACCCAGCTCCCCAGCCCCCCCAAGGCTAGGCTGGCCCGAGATAGGGGATACTGCCGCTTAAATAGCAATGCCTTCCTCAGATGGAGACAGGAAATGGTTAAGAGGGGTGTCACAATACAGCTAAATGCGGAGGCAGAAGGGTCACAGCGCACACAGCAGCGAGTTGACCATTCACTGAGCTACACAATGAAGAAAAAAAAAAGATTTGATAAATGCAGAATGTCATCATTCTATCATCACACAAAAAAAACTGCGGTTCAAACAAGCCTAAGGGGTCAACCATGCCTTTTAGGTTCTGGGGAGAGGAGTGGGGCTAGGGACAGCTGGACTGGACCATAGAGGGCCGGGCTTCCCTCTTCTCGCCCAATCGGGGCCCCCGGGGCGCACTAAAGCGCCGGCCCTGCGACCCCACCCCCCATTCTGACTTGGTGGAGGAGCCCTCAGCTGCAAAGGGAAGACATCATTCGTGTGTGCAAGGGAGGGGGCTGGAGGGGGAGGGCCTTAGCCAGCAGGGATTTTAAGCAGACGTGGAGTGGGAGAGGATGGAAGAAACATTTCCAAGAAGCGAAATGTGAGTCCAGAGGCAGAATACAAAAAGAAAAAAAAAAAAAAGGTCTAAATGCATCTTGGATTTGCTTGGGAGGGTAGGGATTTTTGATTAAAAGAAAATGGAAGAAATGTGGAGGAGGTGTAGAAGAAGGGGAAACCAAGCTATTGTTGTAGCAGAATGTAGGGGAAAGGGGATGTGGGGAAAGGGGGCCGTTCAAACACACCCCATATATCACAGTTAAAAACAAAGCCCGCCGCCCGCCTGCCTGCTGCTTCGTCAACGCCTGCTGGGGCAAAGGCCTGGCAGGGGCAGCTTCCCATCCCAACCTCACACACAGCGCAGCACCCAAGGGCTAGGCACCCCGCTCTGGCCAGGCCCAGGGGTGCAAAGCAGTGCACTTCTGACTCTCGGAGGCGCGCACACGCACTGGCACACATGCATGCACACACACAGACACACACGCACACGAGCATCTTGAGCCCACATATGCAACTGTCATACAAAGACAATTGCCGAGGGGCAGGACTGGGGCTGCAGGGCCATAGCACATGGGTGATACACAAAAAGGGTTAAAGGGGATAAAGGGATGGGACGGGAAATCGGGCAAGTCCCCACGAGAGGTGGGGGGCTGAGGCTCGGGATGGGGCAGGTACCCAGATCCCAGCTAACCAGCCATCGGTACCAATGACCGAAAAATGAAGAAATACAAACACAAAGAATACAACACACACATATACCTCAAAAAAAAAAAAAAGGCAAACCTCGGAAAACCAAGCATGCTTACACACACGCGCGCACACACAGTCATGAATTTCTCTCCTTTCTTTCGATCATACAGGGCTAGGTATTAGGGGAAGGGACTGTAATTTGGGGGAACAACGTCCGCCGCAAAGAATAAAAAATGGGGTTTGGGCGGGAGGGACCCATTTGCCAAACCCTAACTTCACTACAAAAGCTCCCACGAGGGCGGACACCCCCACACTCCGGGTCCTCCCGAAAGGGGGTGGGGAGGAGCCACTTCTCGCCCTGCGTACCCGCGGGTGTGCCCCGAGTCCCCCGCCGCCCGCGGCGCCCGCCCCCGCCCCAGTGCCTGCGACGATCCCGGCTCCGAAGCAGACCCCGAAAGAAAAAGCGATACCTCTGTTTCGCACAGAGCCAAACACTGGAAGCACGAGATAGCCGACGTGGACCAG